ATAATCACTGAGCCCTAACAATAACCTGTCATTTAGATTTCAACATATAAAAATAATTATAATTTAAATTATGCTATATAAATTGTGTAGAAATATACAACAGTCTCAATTTATACCTTAGTACATTTCTCACAAAAATATTGTGCAAAAAATTATTCTTACCTTATGTTCTAATATTATTTATTTTACAAATAAATAATAATAATAATAAAATAATTTACAGCAGTTCACAGTCTACATATTCATCCAGTCAAGATGTCCTGAATTCATTGAAAAGCAAAAATATTGTCAACGGTCTGGAAAAAGAAACTTGTGTGCAAATTGTATCAATATCAGGTGCATTGCAATTATTAAATGCAGAAGGTTCACAAAACACGAATTTTGTTGAAAGACCAAATCTTAATAATAGTCAATATCAAAAACCAAAGGCTCCACATTGATCCAGAAATCATAAATTATGAGCAAGATGCGTCAATTGCATCTGGTTTACCATCTTTGGAAATCCAAATTCTCGACGATCTTCCAAAAATCTCAAATTATGCGCAAGATGCATCCTCAGCAGCTGAATTACAATTACCATAAAATAAAATGCTCGACGATGTTTCAAATATCATAAATTATGCGCAAGATGCATCCTCAGCAGCTGAATTACAATTACCAGAAAATAAAATGCTTGACGATGTTAAAAAAATTACAAATCATGCGCAAGATGCATCCTCAGCAGTTGAATTACAATTAGCAGAAAATAAACTGCTCGACGATGTTTCAAATATCACAAATTATGCGCAAGATGCATCCTCAGTAGCTAAATTACAATTACCAGAAAATAAAATGCTCAACGATGTTTCAAATATCAGAAATTATGCGCAAGATGCATCCTCAGTAGCTGAATTACAATTACCAGAAAATAAAATGCTCGACGATGTTTCAAATATCACAAATTATGCACAAGATGCATCCTCGGCAGCTGAATTACAATTACCGGAAAATAAAATGCTTGACGAAGTTAAAAAAATTACAAATCATGCGCAAGATGCATCCTCAGCAGATGAGTTGCAATTACCAGAAAACCCAAGGCTCGACGATGTAAATAAAATTGCAAATCATGCGCAAGATGCATCCTCAGCAGCCGAATTACAATTACCGGAAAATGAAATGCTCGACGATGTTTCAAATATCATAAATTATGCGCAAGATGCATCCTCAGCAGCTGAATTACAATTATCGGAAAATAAAATGCTCGACGATGTTTCAAATATCATAAATTATGCGCAAGATGCATCCTCAGTAGCTAAATTACAATTACCAGAAAATAAAATGCTCAACGATGTTTCAAATATCAGAAATTATGCGCAAGATGCATCCTCAGTAGCTGAATTACAATTACCAGAAAATAAAATGCTCGACGATGTTTCAAATATCACAAATTATGCACAAGATGCATCCTCGGCAGCTGAATTACAATTACCGGAAAATAAAATGCTTGACGAAGTTAAAAAAATTACAAATCATGCGCAAGATGCATCCTCAGCAGATGAGTTGCAATTACCGGAAAACCAAAGGCTCGACGATGTTAAAAAAATTACAAATCATGCGCAAGATGCATCCTCAGCAGATGAGTTTCAATTACCGGAAAAGGAAATGCTCGGCGATGTTTCAAATAACACAAATTATGCGCAAGATGCATCCTCAGTAGCTGAATTACAATTAGCGGAAAATAAAATGCTCGACGATGTTTCAAATATCACAAATTATGCGCATGATGCATCCTCAGCAGCTGAGTTGCAATTACCGGAAAACCAAAGGCTCGACGATGTTAAAAAAATTACAAATCATGCGCAAGATGCGACCATTGCAACTAATTTGTCATCTTTGGAAAGTGAAACTATTGCCGATAGATTTTCTGTAATTGAAAATGACTTACATTTTTTGGATAGGGAAAATCTTGATATTGGTTTGCAAAGAGAATTAAATGAAGAACTTGTAAAACAAATAGTTCCTTTTCACGATTTAGCAAGGGATGAAATTTCGCGGTAAGTGATTCTTTTTTTATATATTCTGTAATATAATTAATATAATTATTATTATTAATTAATATAATTCGTTTCTCTTATATTAAAGGTAGAAAATAATGTTATATATCAAAATTATGAGTTTTTTCTAGAATATTTAAAATATGTAGTATAAAAATAACATTAATTATACGATTTTTTTCTTTTATTGTGGTCACTGATAAATAAAAACATTTTTCTCGTTCATGAGAAAGATGTTCTTAACCGTTGAAATAACTTTACAATTTTTTTAACAAAATGCATTTGTTTTCATGATTTATTTTGGAAAAAAGACAATAACAAATTAATGGTAGAGATAAAAAGTTATATTTACAAAATAAATGCATGAAACTCAGTGAGCGGAATTATAATGTGACTTATATAATATTTCTTTACGTTGATAACACTGCCCAGCAAATTTCAAATTTTTTTCAGCGAATAACACGGGACATAGTGTTTCCGAATGGATTTTTTGTGCTGAACACAAATCCGGGGTCGAAAACTTCCTATCACGTCACATTTTCGAGAAAATAGGGGTTGAAATCCCACAAAACAGGGTTTTTGGAGATTTTTGAAAAATTATACAGCGAAAACCTGACGTGGTACAAACTTTGCTGATATCAGAAATTAAAGGTTGGTTCACGCCCTTTCAAACGAGCCCTATTCGAAATTGATCGCACTCACCCTTAGAGCAGGGGGTGTGTTTTTGTCTAGGGGTGCACGAAAAAAATGTACACATAACATAAAAATTCAAAATGGGTAACAATTCAATAAATCATGATAGTTAAGGGGTTTTCGAGGTCGTTGGTTACGAATCTGAAGTCAGATTTCAAAAATTCAAAATGGCGGATCCAATATGGCGGATGTCAAAATAAAAATTTAAAACAATTCACTTGAAAATGGTCACTCGGGGGTTTTTGGGGTCGCTGATAACAAATCTGAAGTCAGATTTCAAAAATTCAAAATGATTTATTGAATTGTTATCCATTTTGAATTTTTATGTTATGTTTACATTTTTTTTGTGAACCCCTAGAAAAAAACACACCCCCTGCTCTAAGGGTGAGTGCGATCAATTTCGAATAGAGCTCGTTTGAAAGGGCGTGAACCAACATTTAATTTCTGATATCAGCAAAGTTTGTACCACGTCAGGTTTTCGCTGTACAATTTTTTAAAAATGGCCAAAAACCCTATTTTGTGGGGTTTCAACCCCTATTTCCTCGAAAACGTGATGTGATGGGAAGTTTTCGACCCCGGATTCGTGTTCAGCACAAAAAATCCGTTCGGAAACAATATGTTCCATGTTATTCGCAAAATCGATGCAGGGCAGTGTAATTAATACTGATTTTGGTGAAGACGAGAATTTTTAGCGTTAATATTTTAAGGACATGTGACCCTTAGAAATGTAATGTTAATTTGTTTGCAACTTTCACGTAAAATACTGAATGGATTAAAATAAAATTTTGTGGAGACGTATAAAATATGATGAGAAAGGGTTGTGAAATGCAAAAATTTTAATACTTCGTTAAACACATATTTTTAAAACATTTGAAAATTGTTAGAAGAAGTGTGTTTATGAGAATCCGATTTCATTACATTTTTAAAGTGTTTTATAATTATTAATCTACAAGATATCAACATTTTTGTACTTATCACAACCCTTTTCTATTATATTTTAGACTTTTTCAAAAAATGTCAGATTAATCCATTTAGTATTTTACGAAAAAAGTTGCGGACAAATTAACACTAAAACTCTAAGGGTTACATGTCCTTAATGTTCCTCCAATTACTAAAATAAATATAAAAATTATTTTAGTTTCAGTGAACTAGAAAAGGAACTCGCTACATTCACTGGAACAAACCATCTAAATTATAATAAGCAAAAAGAAAAAAAGTCGAATTGATGATGTTGAAGAAAACCATATTTCGAAACGGAAAAACATGTTTGAGATAAAGGTAACTGAAACAGAGAATGAAATTATGAAAAATAAAAAACTGTGTTTAATGAAAGAAATGGTACATTCTCATCTCGAAAATAATGTCAAGAAATCCAAAATCGCATCACAAAAGATAAAAAAGGAAACGAGTTTAACAAAAGCTCCAGCACAATTAGATTTTTCAAGGAAAGTAACGCAAAACTATGAAGAACATCAGCAGCGAGCTTTTGCAAGAAACGGTAAAGTTTAATATTATTTTTCTTAATATTAAAATTTTTGACTTAAACGTGATAATTTTTACAGTTCAAAATCGGTCCAGTGACAAAGCATCAAAGAAACAAAAAAAAAATTAGGAAGAAAGAGACGAAACATTGAAGGAAGCATTAAATGATTTTGAATAATTGAACCTACAAGCAGCGGCTTACTATGAGGACAAACGAAGATTATTAAACACAGGGAATGCTACTACTGTAAATTCCAATAACAATAGTAAAAATAATGACATTATGACATTATAAAAACGTTTTTAAAAGTGAAAAAAGAAAAAAAAGATGGGTATTTACATCAGTTATGAACATGATGGAAAGAGAAATGTAATATTAACCGTATTGTATTAATTGTTTTAAAATTTTTTGCTATTTTATTATTATTTTTTTTACAATATTATGTTTCCTTTTTTCTTTTTCTTTCACTGTACCAAATCGAAAATATTGTGATTTTAGATTTAAGAAAAGACTATACTGTTATGAACATGAGATGATACAAGAGTTTAGAACAGTAAAAGAAGAAAAAAAGATCGGTTTGTACATCATATTGACCGTACTATATTAATTTCTTTAATGAGATAATCTTTCCATTTTTCTTTTCCTCTTAGCGAACCAAATCTAAAAGGTGGTGATTTTAGGTTTAAAAAAAGACTATACATTTATGTATTTTGTAAAAATGTATTAAAAATAATTTTATTTGACATTAAGAAACGCATAATAAATATAATATGCGTTTGAAGCTTTGCACTTTATTGTCGTTTTAAAAAAAATGTTGCAAGTGCATCTCTGATTTTATGTTTATTTTTTAAAATCTGAAATGACGCGACATCTTTTTCTTCTTCATCTTCATCACTTTCGTCAGATTCTGAAATTTCTGAATCATCATCATCATCATGGTCTCGTTGATTTTTTGTACCCAAATAAAATTTTCGAAAAACTTCTTCGGAACGTTCTATTGTCATGAGAAAATTATGGAGGCACACCAAGCACTTAACTATATTTATTGAAGTGCTCATTTTTAGTGACAGCATTCCAGATAATATTCTGAATCGGCTCACCAATATTCCAAAAGAAATTTCAATTGGCATACGCGCACTTGATAATCTGAAATGCAAAATATAAGTATTGTAACAATATTAAAGATTTAATTGATATTTGTTTTTTATATTTGTGTATTACTCACCGAAAGTTGAAATTTTCTTCCCGAAAACTCTTGATAAACTTCTGGCTATATGGTCGCATCAAATATGGTTCTACTCCAAGTCCAGCATCGCCTATTATGAAATAAGGAAGAAATTGGTTGGTCCCTGGTAAATTTTTTCCTTCTGGAAGAGGATACCGACCACTTTCTAGATCATGGGCAAATCCTGTTGCACCAAATACGCTCGAATCTGACAGACCTCCTGTAAATTGAAAGCTCTTTTTAATTCAATATTTTATAATGACGTAAAATCATGTAAAATGTTGATTATAAAACAATAATTTATTTAAATAATAATTAATGTATAATTTTTGCGAGCTCACCATAATCTCCAACGTCGATCCAGGTAAATGTGTAATTTGCATCACACATTGCCATCAGAACAAAGCTGAAAAACTTTTTATAATTGAAAAAAGCACTAGCAGAATGTGGTGGTTTTATTATTCGAATATGTTTCCCATCAAGGGCTCCTATGCAGTTGGGAAATTTCCATCTAGCTTCATATTCATCGGCAACTGCTTTCCATTCTGTGGGTGTTTTATTTTTCAAATATATTTTTGCTAAAATGTCCCAAATCGCTTTGCTAACTTGAGAAATTATTTCATACATGGTCGATCTTCCAATCAAATAGTATGTGGACAAAGTTTGAACGCTGTCTCCCTGTGCCACATAACTGTAATGAAAAAACTCGAAATTATTAAAAGTTAATATATAATGTACTCAATCAACTTATTTCATTATTAAACATAAACAAAAAATAAAAAAATAAATGTAAAAATTAAACTTACTGCAGCATAACCGCAAGTTTCAGCGCTGATGACAAAGGTTCTCTCACTACATAATTTTTCTCAAGATTTGATCTCAACAACTCGTGCCATTTATCAAACTGACACTCAGTCATTCTATATAAATCATAAAAATCTTCGTGATTTTCTCGTTTTATGTAATCAAATGTAACAGCAAAAGCACCGTAAATATTTCTTATATTCGAATATAAATGTGGTTTAACCCAATATCTTCGCCAGTGTTCTTCTTTGTACTTTTGCTCAAAGTACAAATTCGCCACTCGCAACCCAGCCAACGAAACTTGAATGATAGGAATTATGTCCATTGCAATTTATTCGAAAATTGTTACAATTTATCGGAAACGTTAACACCGAAATAAATTGTATAATAGCAAAGGAAATATTATTGTAAACTGGACATAAATCTAAAACGTGTAAAGGCGAGTTTCCATTACACACAAAATATTGCAACACTATATACTTTATTGCTAATTAAATTTTTATTGTCCCATGACTAATAATATTTTTCTTTAAAAAAAAAATAATTTAAATAAATCCTTGCCTTATCTTATTTTAAAGAATAAATTTTACATTTTTCTTCAATGTGTTTGGTTTGTCTACAACGGAAAACTTGTTATACCATTGGCCATCATATTTCTTGTACATTTCACTCCTGCGCAATATACAGTACCAATTATAGTGTTGCTTACCACCTCTAGATGTTCGAGTGTATATAAATATTTCTTCAACTTTCTTCTGTTATTCATTGTTATTATTGTTTTTATTTTCTTGTTGACGTTGATTTTGTTACATTTTTTATTGGTGTTATACTTTTTTTGTTTTCATTTTATTTTTTTTGCTTTCAACATTGAACTGCAATGGAAACAATAGAGAAGAGCTGCAACAAAGAGCAGCTAGAAAATGAAAAAAGTTTATTCATAATTAATTATGTCGAAAATTACCCGTGCATATATAATAAGCATTTAAATGCTTACAAAAACGCTGTTAAGAAAGACGAATTTTGGGAAGAACTGAAACAACGATATCGAGAAAAATTTGAAGATGAAAATAGCATCACTGGTAAGTTATTCAATAATAAAAAACAATAGCGATAATTTATAAAACTGGTTGATTGATTTATTATTGATATAATATAACCAATACTTATTTTGTATATAGCCAACGCTATCAAATCAAAATGGAATTATTTGAAACAACAGTTCATGACGGAGCTCAAGAAAAGAAATAAATATATTCCGAGTGGATCTGAAGCCCAAGAACATCAAAATGGATTTGAATTTTACGATGAAATGAAATTTTTAATTCAACATGTTGGACACAATTGGTACGTAAAACTTTGTTTGTTTGTTTTATTTTCTATTATAAATAAATTTTTCTTTTTATATACGTCATTTTAAAATTTTAATTTTCTGTTATTTATAAATAAAAAAATATATATTATAAACAAAGCAAATTTTACAAACTGGTAAATTTTTATTTTAGGACAAGCGGAAGCATTGACTTACCATCGAACAATGCGTTTGCCAATGTAAGCAGTACTGCTTACGACATAAAAAATACTGTTCATGCTGATGATGCCACTGTCCATGATTGTGATGAAGAAGAAGGAGAATCATCATCAGTTGAAATGAAGACTAAAAGTGATGATAAAAAGGGGGAAGCAGTTGCCGATAAAATTGTCAGTCTCGATTATGTTGAAAATCTTCATACACCATCTGATATTCTTCAATGTGGTCAGAATATTCAAATTCTTTTGAATAACGTTTTAAATGAGCACAAAGAAAATGGTTTAGAACAAATCTCTGGCAACGAAAAAATAATTATTCGAGCATTCCGTGATTTGACAGAAAATGTAAAATTGATTAAATTTAATGCGATTATGGTCATTCTAGAAAAAATAAATAAATAAGTACATAAACAATGTAAGTTCTTTTTTTGTACCGACTTACAATTTTTTAAAATATACCGTAAAATGGGGTAAAGTCGGCGATTATTACAAAATTATTTTTAATTTTTCGTTTTTTCTTTTCTGAGAAAAAAATTCCTTTTTTGATGATTAATTTGGTTTGTATAGATGTCGAATATTATTTTAATATTTGTTTGATCCATGTTCAGTGGAAAATTTTAGTAAAATTAGTGTTTTTATACAAATGTCTATTTTCGTCTTCACAAAGTAGTTTTGAAAACATGCTTCTAGAACTCTATTTAAAAATTTTTATAACAAATTAAGAATTTAAAAATAAAATATATGCAAATATTATTGAATTCGGGGGAAAAGTCGGCGATAGTGAAAAACTAAAGAAAATTACCATACTTTACTTTTAGACTTATTTCTGATGAATAAAATGTCAAAGAAAGGAATATTTTTCCTAAATTAGAATAAAAACATCAGTAAGAATAATATTATTTGTATAATTTTGATAAAAACGTTAAAACTGATTTTTAACCTCAATGTGATAGAGGTTAAACATTCATATAATGAAAAATATAATTAAATATTTATTTAATCGTTATTAAATCTTGATTTTTCTCTATTCACTGCTTCTAAAACTTTACTTTATTTAATTAAATTAACATTCTGGGTTTGTCAATGACTAATTTTTGAATAATCGACGACACTTTACCCACATTTCAGGGAAAAGTCGGCGTCAATAAAAGGACGTATAAATATTTTTCTAATTAATAAATTAATTTTTTTTATGTAATGATATTAAAGAAGAAGAGTCAAATCATACCATTTTACGGTATGTTATTCTATATACCTATATATTTATATAAATTAATAAATTAAACAAAATTTTTAATCTCAGTTTCAATTTAACAGAAATTTCAATGTGTACACATTACTATCAATAAAAATAATAATTATAATGATTATATCAAAACATGATTTATTATCACTATAACTATAAGCACAACTTTAAACAAAGATAATTTTAAATAATTGAATATCATATATAAATTTAATAAAATTTTAGATTTCAGTATATATTTTCTCACATAACCTAAAAATAAATTCAACTAACATTTTTCATTTAATAAAATTTTATATTTCAGTATATATTCTCACATAACCTAAAAATAAATTCAACTAGCATTTTTCATTTACCATTTCTTTCATGCTAATTCTTTATATTTTTCTTATAACTAATTATTACATATATCATATAATGTGTTAATAACATAATGTAATATTATATTATACAATTATAGAATATAATATAAAAATGCATTTCCCCTACTTTGCTTTTTACTTTCAACAACGCAGAGAACCACTGGTGCCGTACGATTATGTGGCGTTAGTGGCGGTAAGGCAGTCGCCTCGTCGCGTCAATTTTGCTCCCATGTGGAACCGCTGTAAGATCTTCAAAACTTATGGCACTTTTAACTGATATTAATAACAGGCAAAGATGAAATAGCTCTATTTGAGTTGGACTGACGGAATACATTCGTCCAATTACATTGAATTATGTTTTACGTTTTTGCCAATTATTATAAATAGTTGATCCTTGCGATTTTTTAAATACATAGTGAGATGGAATTTCAGCATAATTATTAATAATAACACTCTGTTGATTAGGCAAATGCACAGGTAATCGTATAATAGAATGACTTTCCTCTTGTAACGGTTTGCCGAATATTCGATCACATGCTTCAACAGGACCAATATATCAAGTTTCTATATAATTTTTAATTTCATCATGATTAATCAATCTTTCATCTGTTCCATGATCAGAAATCTGAACTGTAGCAGCATCATAGCCTTTATATATATATATTTATATACATATTTTACAGACTTTATGTTGAAAATTGTTTCTACGTTAATATGACAATTAAACATTTTTAACAATGTTAGATTGTAAGGAACTACATATTGATTATTTACTTTGGTACCATTAGAACGGGTGTAGTCTCCTAAATTTCGTCGCTTGTAAGTAGGATATCCATTTTCATCCATAACTGTTTCTTCTTGAAATCTCTTCGGAAAATTTTTAGTACATTTGCCATTTTCATCTTTACACCAATCTCCACATGGACCATGCAACATGTTTTTTATCACAATTTCACGTAATTCAGGATCATCTGTTGGGATTTCAGCTGAAATAAATTTATCTACAACTTCAGGAATAGTAATTTTACAATTTTGTTTTAAAGTTACTAAAATACGAACATGTGGTAAACCTCGCTTCTGATATTCAACTACACTAACGTACCCAGTAAAAAATAAAAGATACAAGAACGTCGAATTGCGGTTACAAGCTCAATAGCTGGTAAACGAATCCATGAGAATCTCGGATACAAGCACTTTTCGGTATCCGAAATGATCATAAGCTTGTAAACGCACTGAAACGGACGACTTTTGTAGGTCTTTTAATCAAGAAAAAACAATTAAATGGATGCAGAAACGATGGAAAATTAAATTAGAAGCAAAAATAAATAATTATTTTTTAAAGAAACGTACATTTAAACAAAAAACAATTATTCTTATTAATTCTAACCTCTGCATTAAAAACATTGTAAAATCAGTGTTTTGTTGGTAATTTTATGTTGCTATTCGGAAAATATGGTTTTCTACCTTACCAACGTTGAATATTAATTTAACGAGGTTTTTTTTCGAATTTTCTATTTTAATGCAATTTAAAATGATTTAATTAAAAGGGGGAAAGGAAATTAAAAATGAGCACCGTTTTATGTTTAATAATATTTTGATTATTATGAATTGCTTCTGAAATTGGAAAATCGAAAAACCCACGTTAAATTAATATCCAATATCGGTAAGGTAAAATTACCAACAAAACACTGTTTTTACAATTTTTTTAATGCAGAGGTTAGAATTAGTAAGAATAATTGTTTTTTGTTTAAATATACGTTTCTTTAAAAAATAATTATTTATTTCTGCTTCTAATTTAATTTTCCATCGTTTCGGCATTCATTTAATTGTTTTTTCTTGATTAAAAGACCTACAAAAGTCGTCCATTTCAGTGCGTTTACAAGCTTATGATCATTTCGGATACCGAAAAGTGCTTGTATCCGAGATTCTCATGGATTCGTTTACCAGCTATTGAGCTTGTAACCGCAATCCGCCGTTCTTGTATCTTTTATTTTTTACTGGGTAAGCAAGTACATCACCAAATAATTTGTGTTTGACAATTATATTGATCAACTCGTTTTTTTTAATATTAAAAACCCGTGAAATTAAGTCTGGCCGATCAGAAGGGGTTTGACCAGGTAAAAGATTTTCTTGAATCTCCTTCCAGTTTGGATTACACGTCATGGTTATAAACAAATCTGGTTTACCAAATTTTCTAACAATAGCCATTGCATCCTGATAATGTTGTAACATATTTCTGGGAGAACCTGTATTAGTAGATGGCAAAATGACCATTTTACCTACGCGAGTGTTATTATCAGTTGCCGATTTTTCTAAATGATCAATTAACCCTTGATAAGTATCAGCACGTAAAGATTTCTAATTATTTTTATAAAAGTTCATTCCATCTTTCTCTATTTTAACACAACCATCAACAACCCATTGTTGAAACAATCTTCTTCCTTGTAAGAATACATTGTTCTCTCGATCACCTGAACGAAACTTCATGTATTCACTTCGTGTAACTCGTCCACGTCTATGTACATGAGGTATATTATCAGTCCACCCCTGTGTACCATGTGGATAAAATAATGGGTAAATCCAGGGTTCAACATTAGCATCCATTGTACTAACAAATTGTAGATCTCTAGATTGTTTATTTCGTATACTTATATACGATTCTGGAATTTCACCGTCAGCTGTAGTAGTAAAGATGGCTGCGACTTCGTTTACTCTCTGTTGATTGTATCGTCTCAAATCTATCCCTGGTTTTAAAGAAAACAATAATTGCATTTCAGAAGATGTTTGGGTATTTGACTGACTTGATGCTGATTGCAATTCTTCATGCATCATTTGATATGACTTAGCAAATATGTTACAATCACGTAAAACCTGATCAATTTTAGTAATAATATCTGGATTTAACCTCGCAGTTTGTTGACATCGTACATGTGTAGCTTCGTTTTGATCTACAATAAAAAGCTGACCAAAAGATAGATTTTCATTATCAGAAGGGTACAATGAAGTATTAATTTGATAATATATTTGACCGTGAATTTTAAAGCAATATGGTCCAGGTCTTCTGTTATTAAAATTAACTAAATTTGCATTAAAAGATGCGAAAGCAAAAGAATTATTATACCAGCGTATACGTTCAAAAAAATGTCTAGACTCTTCGTGTGTACCATTAAATAGTTCATTCAATATTGTTGGAGGTTCAGGTAAAGGTTCTAAAACTACTTCACCGTGACTGCAACAATCATTGAAAGAATTTTTTTTACGCGACACTCTTTCAGCAGCGAAATGTCTTGCTTCACAATGTTCACACAAAACATCCATAGGACCAATGTAATGTTCTTGGACATCTGTAGAATTATTTCTACGTTGATTCATAGTATTATCACAACATCGGTTTTCATTGTCAGAATTAGAATAGCTCACATTTAAAACTTCAGTATTTTGTGAAGTATTTTGATAGTGAGAACTGGATTGTATTGAATTAAGTTCATCTCTCGTTGTTTCTATTGGTTCTGTAATATTATCCGATTCTTTTGACATTTTCTGCATAGATTCTTTATTTTTTCTCTTTTGACGATATGTTCGTTGTCGATCAGCGTCCTGTTTACGTTTCATTTTCTTAAGTTCTTCTTTTTCATTTGGTCGTTGAGTTTTACGTTTATTTACGTTAATTGTTGAAGATGGTTTTTGACAATTAGATTTGCCCACGTGCAAAGCGTTATTTGTCGCAATGTGCTCAACATAAACTTCAATATTAATTACATTATTTTCACAATGAGAGCTTGTTTGCATTATGTCATCTTCTTCTCTCAAACTTTCTATTGATTCTGAAGGCTCCTTTAATTTTTTTGACATTTGCGATATAAGTTCTTTTTTTTTCTTTTTTGACGATATACTCGTTGTCTAGTAGTATCGCGTTTACGTTTTATTTTCTTAAGTTCTTCTGGGTTTGATAGTTGAGTTTTGCATTCATTCATGTTAATTGTTGAACATTGATTTTGAAAATTAGAATCGCTCTTGTACAAAACATTATTTGTCACATTTTGCTCAACAAATTTGTCATAAAGAACTGGGTTGTGTTGTATCAGTTCCATCTTTCGATAATTCTGATAATTCAGAATTATTTTCGGGTACTTTTGTTGCCTGTTTCGAGAGGTATTCTCTATTTTTCATTTTTTGACGATGAGCTCGTTGCCGCACATCTATTTCTCGTTTTCTTTTCTGAATGTTTTTTAATTTTTGACAATGAGCTCGCTGTCTAGCAGCATACTGCTCACGTTTTATTTTCTTAAGTTCTTCTTCTTCTGTGTTTGATGGTTGAGTTTCGCATTCATTAGCATTAATTGTTGAACATTGATTTTGACAATTAGAATCACTTATGTACAAAACATCATTTGTCACACTGTGCTCAACAAAATTTTCACACTGAAAACTGGATTGTATTGTATCATTTTCATCTTTCGCTAATTCTTATAATTCAGAATTAGTTTCTAGTACTTCTGTCGCCTGTTTCGAGAGGCATTCTCTATTTTTTATTTTTTGACGATGAGCTCGTTGCCGTACAGAATCCGTTTCTCGTTTTATTTTCTTAATGTTTTTTATTCTTTGACGATGAACTCGCTGTCGCATAGCATCCATTTCTTGTTTTCTGATCTTAAGATTTTTTATTTTTTGACGATGTGCTCGTTGTCGCGCAGTATCCATTTCACGCTTTCTTTCTTTACATTCTTCTTCATTCTGTTTTAAACTTTCTATTTTCCGTTTTGGCATTTTTAAGTCACTGAAATTGAAGCTTAATTCGATTGAAAATTATCTTATGTTAATTATTTGAGTCTTTTTATTAAAGGTATGGTCATGTATCTCATGTTTTGGTATCAAATGAAAAATATGGTTTCTGGTATCTGATGAAAGGTATGATTAGTTATCTGATGAAAGGTATGATTAGTTATCTGGTGAAATGTATTATGATTAATTTAAATACTGGATATTAAAATATTCGATATAAAATATCTGATTAAATATACCTTAACCTTGCGAAGTAATTTTTCCAAAAGTAAAATATTTTTTTATTTACTTTTTTATTATTTTAACCTGTAAAGAAAAAAATTACTAACGTATATTTATTCATCTTTTAATATTTTCGAGTATGTAACATTCTTTCAATTTTGTTTTCAATAATATATTTTTCCTTGCATCAATAAAATTTAACTGTATTAAAATTCCAATTGCTTTAAATTTTTGTAATTTATGTATAATTTTTATTTTAAAAATATTGGAACTTGTAGAGTTATTCAATTTTTTGGACAATTTCTAACACGTAAAAAATTTAAAAACCTACTAAAGCTGTTTTTCTATTAATATTTTTTTATTTAACTTTGTAAAAATTCGTTAATTTTTCAATTTCAGTTCTTATTATTATTCATTAATTACAATCATATTTGAAAATAATTAAATAAATTTTTAGTGTTTGCTTAAAAAAATTATTTCAAAACAAAACTAAAGCTATTTTTCTATTAATATTTTTTTATTTAACTTTAACGCGCGTGCGCGAGCTTGAGATAGAACACATGGTGTGCATCTCCTAAGTTTTTGTTAATATAATACATATTTCAAAGTGTTATTGATTGTTCTTCCCTATATACTTAATAGTAAAATTTTTTGTGGCTATTTGAGACAAAACGCTACAATTTTTTCGCCCTATTTAAGTGTCAAACATCATTTTTCATATTATAACCTCAAAACTATAAAAGTGCGGCAAACACACAACATGAGTGATACTTCTGAGAAAATAGATAACAGTAAGTTATCTCCAAATATTATCCTGTGTAGAGCCTGTAAAAAATCCATAGTTGATGGCAAAACATCTCAATGTCCAGGATGCTATGTTTTGTATCATGCTGGTTGTGCGTCTCGATCAAATCAAATGGCCAACGGAAATTTTTCGAGGTGCTGTGGTTCTCGTTCGGCATCTCCTTCATCGCTCTCAGGGACGGAAGATTTACATAAAATCATTGGTGACGCTATTTCAAATCTACATTCTAAACTTTCCAAGGAAAACACCAAGGTTTTAAATGCTGTTAAGACTGTAAATAATAAATTTGATAGTCTTGTGGAAAGAGTGGTGACTAATGAAAAATTAATTGAAAAAGTTTCTAATCGCCTGGACAATGTTGAAGGTACGTTAATCTGATTATTTTTGGAGTCCCTGAAAAAGTGATTAATGATCCAATAAAAAATACTACTGATTCCAATGTTTCTTCCTATACATTGAACTTGTTGAAAAAAATTGTGCATCCTGAGGTGTTACCAAAAATTAAGTTTTCACGAATAGGCAAAATTTCACAGGACTCTCAGAAGATTAGACCGTTGAAAATTGTATGTGAAAATCCACAGGTTGCGGGAAATCTAAGAGACTGCTTTCTGACGAAAATAAAAGACAAGGAATTACTATCGGCTTTGAATATTCAAAACATTTGGGTGGCAATAGACAGAACACGATTGCAGCAGGACCAAATAAAGTCTTTGAAAACGGAGTTGCATGCCTGTCAACAAGCAGGAGAGGAGAACCTCAAGTTAGTATATTGGAGCAATACTCCTCGTATTGTGGCAAAGAATGATTCTTCCACATAATAATTCCAAATCAAAATAACCCCCACTCTCGTTCTCGGCAGACATCTCTTTTTCGCCCGTCAGATGGCTTTACTCACACACTTGAAGTGTATTATCAGAACGTCAGAGGACTGCGAACCAAGTTACATTTGCTGTACAAATCTATCCCCTCTCTGTCAGCTGATCTGTATATTCTCACGGAGACATGGCTCAATGACGATATCAACTCTTGGGAACTTGGATTTGACAACTTTATAATTTATCGACTTGATAGAAATCACCTTACGAGCCCTTTTTCTAGAGGAGGAGGAGTGTTAATAGCAGTTAATAAAAAATTTCGTAGTGTTCATTTAACTACTAACTGTAATTCGGTTGAAGTGATTTTTGTTCGTGTCTTTGTGTATAATATATGGCATATTTTTGTGGCATCTTATATACCACCGAACTCGAATACTGATGTATATAGGGATTTATATCTTGCTTTGAAGGAGGTAACGAATACTTTTCCTTACGATCCAATTCATATCTTAGGCGATTGCAATTTATCATTTATAGAATGGAATACAGGTTCTTCATATTTATCTTGTAGTTTAAAACACGGTTCAAACACAATACAAAATGAAATTTTTGATTTAACATCTGATTATTTAAATTTCTTTAATTTTAATCAAATTAATAAATTCCATAATAACAATGGTTCATTGCTTGATATTATTTTTACTGATTACGAATATAGTGATGTTCAATTGTCGAGTGACAATTTGCTTCCAATTGATAATTATCATCCGCCTTTGTTATACACAATAAATACATTGAAGACTGCGACTGAGATATCTAAGGATTACATTGGTTATAATTTCAAAAAAGCTGATTTTTTATCCATAAGTAAATACTTTTCAGATATTTCATGGGAAAATTTATTTTATTATGAATTAAATGCATTGAAATCTTATAGCTTTAATAATGACTGTGATCAGGGTATGTCAAGAATGATTGACAGTATGATTATGGTTTTTTATACGTATGTAGAGACTGCCTTTCGTTTGTTTGTTCTTGTTGCATCGCGTAATGTTTCAACATATCCTAAGTGGTATACTAGGGAATTAATAGACTTAGTTGTTAGAAAAAAACTTGCTCATGCTAAATATAAGAGAACAAGAGATTTAACTGACTATGAAAATTTTTCTATTCTACGTGCTAAATGTAAAAAATTAACAGAGCAGTGCTATAATCAAAATGTTATTAATATGGAGGAAAATTTAATTCATGATCCAAAATTATTCTGGAATTATATTAATAACAAGAAAAAATCAACTTTGCCTAAAGAATTTTATTATGAACAAAAGAAGGCTACGGATAGTATAGATAAGGCTAATTTATTTGCAGATTTTTTTAAATCTGTACATAATCCTGTTACGGAAAATAATACTTATGAGGTCCTTAATAATGAGGAAGTTGAATTGAATTTCTCCTCCATTACTAGAGACGAAATTGAAGCTAAAATACGAAAATTAGATAATAGAAAGGGACCTGGATACGATGGTATACCAGTCTCCTTCCTGAAGTTATGCAGCTATTCCATAATTGACCCTCTTTTTTATATATTTAATGCCTCCTTGAAAATTGGTTACTTTCCACAGTGCTGGAAATTGGGAGTAATTTCTCCTATTTATAAGTGTGATAACAGGTATGAAGTGAAGTACTACAGACCGGTCACAATTCTCAGTTCAATTCCTAAACTATTTGAAAGTATTATTCACGATAAAATGTATCCGGTATTTAAAAATGTTCTGATGGAGGAGCAGCATGGCTTTCGGAGAGGGCGGTCAACGACTACAAATATGTGCATTTATACCGAATTTTTGGCTAGTGCCTTGGATAGGGGATTGCAAGTAGACGCAATACACTACCGTCCGAAATTGTGCGAACTCTGCTTTTTCAACAACTATAAAACTGTTCAAATCTTCAAAAATATTAAAACTAAAATTTTTTTCTCTTTATTTTATTAAAGTTAATAAAATTCTGAAAGAAATGACACCTTGACAAAGAGAATATGTTAATTTTTCAATTAGATATCTAAGAAAAACCCAATTTTCAATGTTTTTACTATTTTTTTATTTCTCTGGCAAAAATTAATATTTTTAAACGTTCTTAGGCTCATTGAAATCGTATTTTGTTATGCAATTCAAATTATATAAAACAATTCATGTACACATTCAAACCGTGAAAGTTGGCTCATAAAATGTCAAAAAATTGTGATTAATATTTATATGACAAAAAATTATCAGTAAAATGTATAAATCTTAAATTTACTTACATAAATCAGAGAAGTTTAGAATGATATATTTACTTGATTTTTAAACATTATATTTTATTGTAGAATTAAATTTAAATTTTTTGACATTTTATGAGCCAACTTTCACGGTTTGCATACGCTAGGGGAGAATGTGTACATGAATTGTTTTATATAATTTGAATTGCATAACAAAATACGATTTCAATGAGCCTAAGAACGTTTAAAAATATTAATTTTTGCCAGAGAAATAAAAAAAATAGTAAAAACATTGAAAATTGGGTTTTTCTTAGATATCTAATTGAAAAATTAACATATTCTCTTTGTCAAGGTGTCATTTCTTTCAGAATTTTATTAACTTTAATAAAATAAAGAGAAAAAAATTTTAGTTTTAATATTTTTGAAGATTTGAACAGTTTTATAGTTGTTGAAAAAGCAGAGTTCGCACAATTTCGGACGGTAGTGTATATACTGATTTTTCTAAAGCATTTGATAAGGTGGATCAGGGTATACTTTTACGCAAACTATCAGCCTATGGCGTCTCTGGGGTCACTCTTCAGTGGCTCTCTTCATATATATATATGGTAGAAGTCTAGTTGTCAGAATTGGTAACGATTATTCTTAAGAGTTTTTCCCAACATCAGGAGTACCTCAGGGTTCTCATCTAGGACCGTTGTTGTTCTTGATTTTTATCAATGACATTAAACCTTATATTAAGAATTGTTTTTTTCTTTGTTATGCTGACGACCTTAAAATGTATCGAACAATTAGTTCCCTGTCTTGTGCGCTTGACCTTCAAGAAGATCTAGATAGTCTGCATGAATGGTCTACTCTGAATAATTTACCCTTGAATGTTACCAAATGTACTACTATATCCTTTCATAGAAAGACAAAAATTGTAAAATTTTTTTATAATATAAAAGGCGTACTATTGGTTAAAGTGGAAAAACAGCGTGACCTTGAACTGATTCTGGATTCTGCTCTTTCATTCCGAGATCATATTTCTTTTATAGTTAGCAAGTCTTTGAGAATCCTGGGACAAATCACACGTTTTGGTTCAATTTTTCACGATCTTAGAGTCTTAAAAGTATTATATCTTTCGCATGTGCGACGAATCGTTGAAACAGACTCGGTGATCTGGTCTCCCATGTATGAGATTCATAAAACAAGAATTGAAAGAATACAGAATAGATTTCTAAGATTCGCTGCGCGTCAAGTAGGCATTCCCTTTGACAGGTTCAGTCATGACTATACTGAGCTTCGCTTAGTTATAGGCAATCCACGAATTTGTCAGAGGCATAAAATGAATGACCTTAAATTTTTGTATAACATTATTAATGGAAAAGTAGACTGTCCCTCTTTGTTGTCCCAGGTCTCGCTGTCAGCCCCTTACGTAATGCTTCGCAATTGTTCTGCGTTCAGAGTGCCCCATCATCGTACAAACATTGGTGGAAATTCATCTCTAACGCGCGTATTTAGGGAAGCGAATAAAGCGAGCGAGATTGACTTTTTTGATGAAGCAAGTAACAAATTTCTAAAAACACTAGCGGATTACGTAAAAACCACATCTTAAAACTGTTCTTTAGATTGGATTACATCCATGACCTCTTTTTTTATTGTGTAATACTTTTATTATTATTAAAGGGCATGTTATTTTTGTAAGCCCGTTTACATGTATAAATAAATAAATATTCGATAATTTTTCAATTTCTATTCGTATTATTATTCATTAATTAAAATCATATTTAAAAATAAATCAATAAGTTTGTAGTGTTTGCTTAAAAAAGATTATTTCAAAACAAAACTAACCTAATTAAAATTTTTTAATGAACTAATGTATTATTAATTAAAAAAATAAAAAATTAATATTTAAATAATAAATTATTTAAATCTATTGAATAAAATTTAAACAACATTAACTTCAGCAAATTTAATTAAAATTTTAATGAAAATTTTAATGATAATTATGCTGTACTTACAGATCACACTTCATGTTAGATATAATTTTTTGTAACATTCAATAAATATGTAAAACAGGTAAAATTCTGGATATCCAATATCTAAAATATTCTGGATATCCAATATTTTACTTAATGCAAATTATATTATTGTTTTTAAAAATCCACGTGATCGAGCTTAGTTTTAACACTTTGCTCGACAAGTTTATCCTGAAAATCCACGTTTTCTTCAAGAAGCCTATCACGACACAACTGCCAAACCTCATGGTTATCTACTTTTAGATTTAAAACAATCAACGCCTGATAATTGTCCTTTTCGTACTGATATTTTTCCTACAGATGGTTTTCCTCAGGTTTATGTACCAACGAAAAATATAAAAGAGGTACATCAATAGATCAAGTACCAGTTGTGCGATTATAATGGCGTTTAATAGAGTTCTTTGTAAACATATTAGTAAACAAAATGCTGCCGTTTTGCATGCATTATATCATCTCAATTCCAATCAACGCAGAGCAATTTTATCCATTGCGGATAATAAACTAGTCAAGTGTATTTGCGAATATGCTCTTAATTCTAGTGGAAGTTGGAAACAAAAGAAACGTTACATTCTTCAAAACGGTGGAGGACTTCTACCGCTTTTACTTGCACCTATTATTGGTAGTATAATCTCTAACCTCTTCATAAGTAATGATTAGTATAGAAACAACAGTTTAAGGCAAGGATTGCAAGAAAACTCCTTTCACCTCTCATTTGTTTTTTCTTATTGAATTCTAATATGGAACATGCAAATAAAATGGTTTTAATTCCCAGCGAACAAGTTCATAAAATACAAGAACAACAACAACAGTCTAACTTTTTACAATTAAATAATGGAAACAATAAAAATTTTAATAATAATAATGAAATTGGAAATGACACAATACAAACACCTGGAAATATTATAAGTCGCCTTGACAGCGAAATGAGTAAAATATTACATTCGCCAGTTTTAATAGCTGAAAGAGAAAAATGGAAAATGTATCAACAAATTTTACAAAAATATTTATTCTTTGTTAATTTAAAACGCAAACCGTTTAGTTCTAATAAAATATTAAATAATAGCAATGATGAAGAAATTAATACTAAATCTTATTAATTATGCTTTAAGATATAGAAAAACTGTAAACCAATCAGGACGAGGTCAGTTTGCTAGTTTTCTTCGTAATATTGGGATATCACGTGAATTTGTATCAAATTCAGAATATTGGAAAAAGAATATAAATATTACATCATCTTCAAA